CTCTCTCTCTCTCTCTCTCTCTCTCTCTCTCTCTCTCTCTCTTTCGTTCTCTCTCTTTCGTTCTCCGTTCTCTTTTTCTGTGTCTCTCTCTAGTTCTCTTTCTCTCTTATTCTCTCTCTCGCTCTCTTTTTTCGTAAAGCGGACACTTGCGCGTAAGCTCGAGATGATAACATTACTTAACGTTATCGCCAGTGTTAATGCTTTGTTATTCAGTATTATATCGCGAAATGACGTTACATCGTTGGGACTTGTGTATTTGTTCGATAAATCGATTTGACGCTAAGGTATCCGCGACGCAAAAGTACTTACCGCGCTACCTGACTCTGCTCGAGCAGCAAACAATAATTTTTGCGTACTGGAGTGAAAAACGCTATTCTAAGTGGTTGCATTGGTCTTTCTGTTGCAGAGAGCGGCGGCGCAGCATCAGGCACAAGCAGCGCCACAGGGTGAGTATAGCGTCTGTAATTAAGCCATTATTAAAGTTTGTTTAATTTTGCCGTCGGCGAAAGCGCGAGTATCGAGATAACCGACAAATATGGCACAAACCGATAACGTGGCGCACCGCGCCCACCGGTGGTGCCTCGCGAGGTTTCGCCGGTGCTTTTCCCGAGATAATCGCGCGTGATCATTACGAATAAGAGAAGGCCAGTAAGTCAACCGGAGAAGAAATTATATAAATTATAGTTCTCTCATTCAACCAGACATCCATGTGTCACGTGTATCCCTGCTTCGCGCGAAGTATCGTTTTGAAATCAGTCTGTTATCGATCTCGCGATCATTTTTTGCAATTATTAACGTGTGCCAACGAGGTGTACAATATTTATTTAAGCATTCGAGCGAAATTAATCACTCGATGTGTGAATCCCTTTGGCCAAGGATCGAAGCCAGTACGATCTTCGACGAGGTCACGGCGCAATCTTTAATTATGCAAGTACCCAGTAAACATGATACGAAAGTAACGTTACTTCAATGAAATTTCCCACTCAATAATGTAAGTCCAATATGTTGCATCGTTGAGTAGGAAATTATAACTTATTATAATTAGCATTATTGAGATAATGCTAAGAATAACATCAATGTCATAATTTCCTATTCAACAACGTAAGAGTTCAGTACAGCATATATTGTACCTAATAGTTGTACATCACTGAGTGAGAAATTACATTATGATATAATGTTACGGTTGGTGTTTACTGGGTATTCAAGAAAACGCATTTAGACTTGTATTGAAAATTGTTACCTGAACTTCTCTCATGTGAGATGCTCAGACTTTTATTCAGAGTTAAGTCCAAATTTTCCATTGAAATTATGATACACACGCGACATTTATATCCCTAAGAGTCCTTGCACAATGCCAGGCTACAGACAATAGGAATAGATATTAGCCAATAGGAACAAGAAATAGAATTAATTTACCAATTCGAATTTCTATTGCTTATTGCCTGGCATTCTGCAAGGACCTTAAGGGTCGATTGTTCCAACCTCTTGGTAAGTTACCTAACAGTTAAATCATGTGTCTGTCTCTGTCCAATTTAGGAAGGAAAAACGAAGACAGATATACTACTGTGTCCAAAAAGTAAGACCAGTTTTTATTTATTTAAAAAAATATTTATTCTTCCAAATCTATTTCGTCGCCTTCAAAGTAATCCCCTCCCGACACAATACACTTATGCCAACGTATTTTTCAGTCCTCGAAACAAGAATTGAAGTCGCTTTCCGGGATGGCTTTCAGAGCGCGTAGCGATCGTATCTCTTCTGTAACGTTGTATCTCTTCTATCGTCTCAAAACGATTTCCCCGCAGTGGTCTTTTGAGTTTCGGGAATAGCCAGAAGTCACACGGTGTTAAATCAGACGAATATGGTGGTTGTGGAACGATATGGATCGAATTTTTGGCGAAAAAGTCACGAAGAACGAGTGCAGTGTGAGAAGGTGCATTATCGTGATGCAAAAACCAAGAATTGTCTGCCCACAATTCTGGCCTCTTCTTGCGAATAGCTTCACGCAAACGACGCATAACACTCAAATAATACTCTTTGTTGATTAGCAAGCACAAGCTCTTCGATTTTCTTGACGTGTTGTTCATTGGTAGAGGTTGATGGTCGTCCGGAACGCTCTTCGTCTTCAACACTTTCATGACCTTCTTTGAACTGTTTATACCACTTGTAAACATTCCTTTCCGACAAAGCATGGTCCCCGAAGGCTTTCTGCAACATCCTGAACGTTTCTGCACCCGAAATTTCATTCCGCAAACAAAATTTAATGCAACTTCTTTGCTCAATATAATTAGACATTGTAAAAATCGCCGAATGCACTTTTAGCGTTGTACAAAACCAAGCGTAAAGCAAAAAGTAATGAATGTTTTGACATGAAATTTGTCACAGATGTCTGTCACAATGCTGCCAACTTAGAAAAAAAATATTTATGATGTGCGGTTTACTCGCGCGATTTAAATTGAAAACTGGTCTTACTTTTTGGACAGTAGTATGATTCATATGTCAGGTAATTTACCAAGAGATTGGAACAATCGGCCCTAAAAACGCGATTCAACTGAGAAACTCTCATCTGATTCTGAATTTCAGTCTGAGTATCTCATTTGAGATAAGTTCCGAGTAATAACCATTAATACAGGTTATAAAAAGCTTGTATCACATTCTATAAGCAGGAGACGCGTTCAATTTTGCGAATATAATCTTGATCAAATATCGTAATTTATTATCGCATCAATTATGCAATGTATTGTCGGATAAATGAAACTATCTGAAGCTGAATTCGACGAGATCGTACGGCATCAATCCAATTTCGGCGAAGGCATCCACCGAGAGGCCATTCCAGCGGGCCAATCAAATCGGGACACATGTCGCCATCTTGCGGCAAGGTGAGTCTCGCATCTCGAGTTTCGAGAGCGACTCGTATCGACAATCGATTCGCGGCACTGCGAGACTCGTACTCAAAGCATCGAGAGTAGACTCCAAGTGCCGACGGCAGATGGCAGTATTGTGTCGTTTGGAGATAGTTCGAACGCGACGCGCTCGCAGTCTCGGTTGTGGCGCGGCGCGACGCGCGGCAGTGCACGTTTCAACGCCGATCGTGACGATCGATGCCCGCGAGACTCGAAATCGGTCGGCATTCGCCGGCGGTACGTCACACCACATCGTGCACCGCGAGACCAACGGCTTCGATTTGAAGGTCAAGTCTCACACCGGCAATCTTTCTCCGCATGCGTGCGTACACGCGCGCACGTTCGTCCTTTCTGTCGCCGAAACCTGTGCGAAAGCTGCGCAGCTGAGTGCTCTCGCGACGACGCGATCCTGCGATATGTCAAGGGGACGCGACCAGAACAACAGTTCGCATTTGTAAACACCGTGTCGCGTGCGTGTCGCGCTCGACGCACGTAGCCCTCGTCGTTACGTGCCGACTCGTGGTGTGTGTGTGCTTCCTGTCAGTGTTATGTTCGCGAAGGACACCGATAACGGGTAGTGGTAGAAAGTGATATTAGTAGTAGAGTGCCGGATTCTCTTGATGAGTCGCCGCTGAGCGTGCGAAACACTGCGACGCGTCGCTTCTTTCCCTCTGCTGTTTTTTACGTGAGCACGTGACGTGAGCACATCGTGCGCGCCAAGCAAGGAACGCAGCTCGGAAGAGGCCGAAGGACGTCTTCGTCACGCGGAGGCCCCGAAAATCAAGTAAGTATGTTAAGCTAGGCAAGAGAGCGATTAAGCGGACAACCACGCGCGTCATTATGCGTCTATCTCGCTTTGCTCCATCAGAGAGAGAGAGAGAAAGAGAAAGAGACGCGACCTGTAAAAAGCGGCACACAGATAAGATTCGCATCGTCTCGCGCTCGTCTCGGCGGTCAATCGTGGTCGCGTCGTTATGGTTTATCAAGGTTTTTCTGCCGCAGCGCGTTATCTCTTCGCGTCAGAGGCGAGGGCGTAAAGTCCATTCTCCCCTCAGGGAATATAAAAACAATCGGCGGTATATGTATGTGTGAGGAGGGACGGAGTAGGAGATAGAGAAACACAAGAGAGCCGCCACGATCCGATATCTCTGCGCGATCTCGGCATCCGGCGTTTCCTCAAACCTTTCTCGCGCCATTACGTAACCGCCCGGCGTACGTGAACGCGTTGACAAACAGACGGACAGGCCGGCCGACCGACCGAAAAAGGGGATAGGCTTTTTATCGTCGGGGAATTGAGTCAGAGCCGGTGGGCGCGCGATATCTCGCGAAGTGAGCCGCACTCGCTTGTTACGCGCAACTACGTCGTTTCCGAAGTTCGTCATTGACTCGCCGCGCGGCCGTCTTCCCCAGTCACCGACACGTAATTTAGACCCTCGCCCGCGCCTTTCGCCCCCATCTCGTGCCACTGCCGGCGTTGCCTTCGACGACCAAACAACACGGTCTCGTTCATGAGAGAGCGAGCGAGAGCGAGTCATCCCTATACGCGTCGAACGGTGTCTATAATGAGAATTTAAACTATAAACATTAAGGGCCATCTACAATGGCCATTGGAATTGGCAGTAGGCAGTAAAACGTAAGCAGTAAGCGAGTTGACCAACCACAGTCGATTATTACAAGAATAATCGAATATAATTGGCCAATTTGTTTACTGCTTACGTCTTACTGTCCACTGGCAATCTCATTGTAGATGGGCCTTTAGGCCGGGAACACACAAAAAATTTAAACAGTAAGTAAATTGACCAATCACACTCGCTGATTCACGAATCATGGAAAAATTGACTGATTGATCAATTTGCTTACTGCTTAAGTTTTTCTGCATGTCCAGGTCTTCAAGAAATTAACTAATTACAATCGATTATTTTTCTCATTTGGCTGTATTTTTCATTATTTGGCTGTGATTGGTCAATTTTTTAAGATTTAAAACTGAAGTCTTATGGCTTTTTTAAGTTCTCATTGTAGACACCACTTTGGAGAGAATTCACACCTTGACAGAAAGACAAAAATCAATCAGAACTCGCGCTAGCAGAAAAGCAGAAACTGTTTATTACCATCTGACCACCAGTTTTACGAGTTTTGATTGGCTTCTGTTTTCTGCCAAGGTGTAAATTCGTCCTTAAGCACGCGCGTTTTTTGTTGCTTTCTTTCATACGACGTCGCCGTTATAACGATTCGGAGAACCAGCGGACAGACCCGATTCCCGGCCGCGTTGCAGCGAAGGGTTTTCGTTGGCCTTGGCGAAACCGGTCTTGAAGTAGATTCGCGCGTCGATAGTTCGACGTTTGGAACCGGAAACACATTGCCCGCCCGTGAAACTCACTAAGACCTCGCGGATATATTCGCTGAGTGTGTCGAAGAGCATTGCGCTTTTACAGTGTAATCTCATAGCCCTTTCAAATACATGGATTTTAATCCGTCGTCGGAAAGGCGGAATCTGCCCACGCATTCCATTTCATTTCCTTTAAATCTTTGTAAGAGCTTGAGAATTT